CAAATCTGCCGCAAAAGACCTCTTTAAAGTGTTAAAAAGCAAAGATGTAACTTTGAGGACTAAAGTGCACCTGACCCAAACCATGGTACTTTCTATGGCCTCACGTGCATGCGAAAGCTGGACAATGAATAAGAAGACCGAAGAAGAATTGATGCCTTTGAATTATGGTGCTGGCAAAGAATACTGACTATACCATGGACTGCCAGAGGAACGAACAAATCTGTCTTGGAAGAAGTACAACCAGAGTGCTCCTTAGAAGCAAGGATGACGAGATTTCATCTCACATACTTTGGACTGGACATGTTATCAGGAGGGACCAGTCCCTGGAGAAGGACATCATCCTTGGTAAAGTAGAGGGTCAGCAAATAAGAAGACCCTCAATGAGATGGGTTGACATACTGGCCCCAACAATGTGCTCAAACACAGCAATGACTGGGAGGATGGCGCAGGACCGGGCAGTGTTTCATTCTGTTGTACATGGGGTCGCTATGAGTCGGAACTGACTTGACGGCACCTAACAACAACAACAGTACCCAAGTGCTATTACTATGTCCTCAGCTCGCAGGAAGTTTTAGAGATCCCTGAGCCTTAAGACGCTCTTTAGATTCAGTATATGCATGAAGCCAGTAGGTTGAACTTCATTTGCTTTATAAAGAAGATCAATTCATGAAATTGAAAAAAATGTGTAGTTTTGCTAGTAAACTTCTGCAAATTGTTAGATCTAAAACACTTGATCACAAAATTTTAAATGGCCACATTACGAGCAACGTCACCAGCCCTTCAGCCATTTGTCACCATTTAAAATCCTTCCCCAATAGCACTAGGCACTTGCTGGCAATAATTATACAAAGAGTTCATCTTCAAATAAATGTTTGTTACTAATCAAGGGATACAATCAGGCGAATATACCTCTGAAAATATATGGAAGTATAAAGCTGAAGGGAAATTTTAGACGAATTTTCCCACCATCTTTCCATGTCCTACCCTAATAGAACCATCAAGTCTACTGTTCCAAAGAAGACAGAGTTATTTACAAACATTCTTATTAAAGTTACTATTCATGATGTAAGTTTTTGAGGACCAACAAAGTTACAGCAGAATTTTCGGGAGTAAATACTCAAATGTGTTCTAATTGTACCTCAAGCAACAGTCGTGGATCATTTTTAAAACATCACCATTCTCATGCAGGTTTACAGGTGAACTTAGGTGGGAAGAGCACATCTAAAGTTAGAGATATCAACTGGTCATGGGCACAAGAAGAGGGCAATTGATCTCTGGGAAGTAGGCCACTGGAACGCTGCATATCAAGACACTTGCATTTGGCAATGAGGAGGGAATTAGGAAGAAACAGTGTCCGAGGTTACCACAATTATATCAAATGGTCAGAGAAAGACAGTAAATGACAGGTAGGGTTAGCAGGGAATATACTCAAAGGATGTTTATGGGACCACGGAAAGGTGAATTCTTGGCAACTGTTATGAAAACTGATTGCCTGTGTCTCAGCTGATTTGTGTTCCACTCAGCTGTCACACGTGCCACCGCTGCAGAGCTACGACATTAGGGTGTTCTCATCAGCCTCACCGGATTTTAAACTGATAGTATTAAAGCAACACTGGGCGTTGTATAGGGCAGTGCTTAAAATTCACACAAATTCGATGGATCATTCTGATCAGAAGCTGTAACTCACCTACCTTTAGATACTTCTGGGTTAGATTTCTCACCGAGTCCTCGTTATAAGTCAGAAGAACCATAACATTTCATTATAAATGAGTTCTCTAAAAAGAAAGATACACTTTATGCAATAAGGTAAAAATACATCATTTATCAGTATTAAATACCAAGGACTTTTACATGTTTCTGAAACAGTGATTTTCAGATTTTTAAGAACAAGTACTCAATGGTAAGTTCTAGATAGTTGAGTTTATTGTATATTTGAACATGAATAAAGCACAGGAAAATAGGCACCCTCAAATTTATACATTCTATGTACATGTGGCTCTAACAAAAAAAAAAAAAATTGGTCTTAAGTTAAAAATCAGAGACTTAAGGTTTGGAAAAATAAAGATTACGACAATAATATAATTTTTGGAACATTGTCTTTGAATTTTTTTTTAAATTTAGTTATCAGAATTTCTACCTGGTTTTGCATATATAACCTTACTTCTGCTTGTACATCCACATTCAAACTCCATCTCCAACCCACAGCCAGCAACTATGGCTCTAATCTAAGAGCTCAGGCATCCCTTTGGATCTTAACAGTGCCCCATCATTGGGTCCACCTTCATCACGGCTCTTGTCAAACGGCCAAGGCCTATCAGAGCTGCACCTGGCTGGTCCATTCCCATCTATTTTAAGCCACAGAATCACACAAGGACAGAAGACTTGCCTCCATCAGACCCCTCATCTCTGGGTGACTAGCGTGACAGTAATCCTTTTGCATCCTTTCTCTCCAGGTTGGTCCCTATGGTCTGTTCCACATCTCACTTGATCCAGTGTTTCCTTCCTCCTGACTCGAGACTCAGACTGAGCGATATGAAGTTGATAAGGCAGTGTCTCACTAACCTAGGATTTTGGTCTATATTTCCTGGACTGTTTGATAACCTATCAGGATAATAAGAAGGGAAAGCTATGATATTAATAGCACTAGCCATCACTGCTTCATAGGATCAAAGCTGTCCTCCAATTCTGGGGCTGAATGGCGCTTGAATCTTAAATTTGATAAGCAACTTAGGATATAAACCTGTTTTTCTTTAAGGATGGTGTCATAGGAATGTGGCGTCCCGCCACAGTCTCCTGATTTTGTAGTATTCTAAGTATGGTAGAATGATTGTTTCTGTCAATACTGACCTAATTTTTTTTTCCAACTGAGCATGTCTTTGAGTTCACATCTGTTCCTGCCTTTACAGACTACAAATGGAATATTTTTTGCCAAAGAGAGTATAAAGGAAGTGAAAAAAAGTCAGCCAAAGGATTGATTTTTTTATATTCTTTAAAAAAAAATTTTTTTCCCTGAGTTTACACGTGAAAAGTCAATGAACACCAGCTCTTCGTAAGTGACCGAATTAACGAAGAGATGAGAATCAAGTCTGGCAAGATAGGAAAACTTGTTCCTTTATAAACATAAGACAGAGTCAACTCCAAATAATAATAATCACAGTACTTCACAGAGATTCATCCTACAGCTGTGTACACTTCCAGTGAGGTTTTACGCGATCCCTCCTGACCTCCTAGCACCAGGTAAACACAGCCACGGGTGGAAATGTGTCGCAGTTAGCACTAGAAGCAGCATCATGCTTCATTAAGAGAATAAAGCAGAAAATGGTCAGGCAAAGGAATATTACAGCATAAAACCTACTGGCAATAAAACTGCAATAAAGCAACGTAATGAGGTTTACAATATTGTTTTACTGGGACACCCAGTTTGTAAACATTTGTATTAAACCCCTGCTCCCCAAGATCTAACCAGCCATACAAACAAAAATCGTCTTTTTTTACTATGAAATCATGAAGAACTCGTACTCCGCGGCTCTTTTGTCTTGGTAGTTCTCAGAGTTAAGAAATGAGCCGTGCTAAGGAGCTTCTCCATCTTGAGTAACTGGCAGCTCTGGAACCTCATGCATCCTCAGAACCTCTGCATAGAGCAAGTAATCATGAAGGCTTCTGGGAAGTGGCAACTGACAGATAAAACGATCAGATCGCAGGTGTTCTGGTTTTAGACTGGACCGAATTTCCAGACGACAAAGGTGGGTCAAGGATGGAATAGAGGCTAGAGAAAAACACAAAGCAGATGAACAGAAAATTTAGACAGAAAGTAACAAACAGTACACTAAGGTAAACGACATTTGTTAATCTGTGTAGTAAAAGGGATGTGATGTGTTGCTTTGACTTAAAAAAAAAACAAAAACAATAAAAACCCTACTTGGGCCAGGACAGCCACAACAAACCTTATTTATTTATTCTTTTCTACAGACTTCCTCTGGCCCCTCTCCCTCCGCTGTTGACCACACATTCAAAGTTAGTACCCACAGCTACATCAGACTAAATGCTCAGATTCCAAACATCCGGCAATACCAGCCTGTACTTAATAATACCCAAACCAAGCCCGTTTCTACTGAGTCGATTCCGACTCATAGTGACCCTACAGGACGGAGCAGAACTGCCCCATAGGGTTCCCCAAGGATTCGAACTGCCGACCTTTTGGTTAGCAGCTGACCTCTTTAAGCTAGTGGTTAATAATGGGCCAACTAATTTTAGAAATGACAGGCGCTCACAGCAGCAAATGCAACATCCTTCTTTCTCTGTGTCACTGCAAGTGGTCTCCAGACTTACCACAGCGAGTGAACCGACGTGCAGCTTGCCAAGATTTTCCTCTTTTTATCTTAGCACCACAGAATAAAAATTTAAAATTGGCACAGAAAGGAACATTTATTTAGTGTCTATTATGCTATATGCCCACGTACTTCACACTTACTCTTTTCATCTTCACATTACCCCTGTGAGGTAGATGTTGTCATGCTATTACAGACAGAAAAAAGACGGAGGTTTATAAAGAGGCTTAAACAAATTTCCAAAGGTCACACAGTTAGTAAATGGCAGAGCCGGGGTTCAAACTCAGATCCATCTGACTCCAAAAAGGGGGTGGGTAGGGGTGTGTGTGCGCTTACTGAAACCACTGCAGCCAAAAGCTAATTAACAAATAAAGGATAATCCACATGCATGTAATTAAGAACTATATGATAGTAGTTTCATTTTCCAAAATGAAAAGTGTTAACTAAAGAGGTTAATGTCCATGGAAACTGAGAACCTTTTGTTAGTCCAAGAAATCGTGTATAAATCCCCGTGAAATATAACAATGATTAACAGGCTAGAATCAGAGCAGCAAAGACAAGCACTATCAAGAGGACAGCTGATAACGGGCCCAGCTAGTCTGACTCCAAATCTATGGTGCCTGTAATACCCCACAGGACCTGAGACAAACTAATGCTTAACATCTTCAGCATCTTTCAAACCAATGAAGTTAACCCATCATCTGAAATTTTAGAAGACTTTTCCTTTCACTAGAAAAAAACGACATGGTTACTATAAAAATTTTAATGAATGTAATAATTTATTCAGACTTCAAGAAATTCCTTAAGCTATAGTGTTTCAAAATGTCAAATAAGAAAAGTAAAACAGCTATTTGATTTTGTACACAAAACTTGAGTCTGAGAAAAGATGGATATATTCTTAAACAATATGGGTCATAGACTCTCCATTATAAATTAGACTGCAGCATCTATGATATATAGCACATTTATTTCCAAGGTGTTTTCGTATCTGTATCTTATTTAAATTTTACCATTTTCTGTAAACCTAAAGGAAGAATCAACATTCTCACTTCTAAGATGGGAAAACAGGTACAGAAAGCACTGGAGGCCTTGGCAAGAATACATATGGGCAGCATCTCCAACTGCAAACCTCGCAGTTTTCCAAAGGTATAAGTGGGTTGACTGTGTTCAACCACCAAGTCTAAGGAAGCCTTCGGATCCAGTGAGATCAGGACCAATAACTGATCAGTTAATTGAAAGTCGCTTTAAAGTAGGTGACCAAACCGACATACATTTTAAACACGAACCATCTCCACCATGTAGCAGCTACGGTTTGCAGTTTTACTTTCTTTAAATTACAGCAAGAATTTAAAGACATCTGCCGAGCAAAACCGAAAACCAAACCCATGGCTGTCGAGTCAACTCCAACTCATAGTGCAAAGTTAAGTGCATAATCCTTCTATATTTTTATAATTTTTTAAATATCTTTCAGTTGCTCACTCACACCTGAATCAACATCAGTTTTTGTTCAGTGCTCACTTTGATCAAGTCTTTTTAAAACTTAATAGCTTTAATAGAAACAATGACCCTCCCTTCACACTAGTATTTCAATGGCTTATGCAATTTGGAATTAGAGTACTTAATTACAAAAGTGGAGCCCTGGTGGCACAGTGGTTAAAAAGCTTGGCTGCTAACCAAAAGGTCAGCAGCTCGAATCCACCAGCTGCTCCTTGGAAATCCTATGGGGCAGTTCTACTCTGTCCTGTAGGATCGCTATGAGTCGGAATCGACTTGATGACAACGGGTTTGGTTTCGGTTTTTGGTAGTTACAATAGTATGCCCAAATGTAATACAGGTTTTGGATATAAACAACTGATTCTTGGTAAACCCACAACTCAGACAATAGGGACAAAAGCACACTGGCATACTAGAGAGTAGCCTACTAGCTGCCAACACTGAGCACGCTGTGGGCATACTCAGAAGGCACTGATAAAGGGTTAATCCCGTGCATAGGTTAACGTGAAGTCAGTTAAGAGAATTTTACTATATTCAGTTAGAGTTTAAGATGTGTTGTGTTAAGTTGAATCTCTTCATTCTACACATTCTTGTTAATGTGGATACTTAACTATACATCCAGAAGGAATATACGGGATGGCTGTGCAACCTGGAGGAGAGCTGCTCAGTCAGGGCTAAGGGATCCTGAACACTTCTCCAGCGGCTCTCATTTAACAGACTGCCCTGACTTACACCCCTCGGGCTGACTGAGGAGCATTCCTCTGGCTGTCCCAAAGGCTCCCGCCATGATGAAAAGCCTTCCCAGGTCATCTGTCCACATCTCTGCAGCCATATCTCTAAAGCGAAATAAATCACCTTTTTGGTTTATGCTAATACGTGTGTCGGAGCTTAATCACGTATGATCAAGCCAAACTGGGCCAGGACACATATGTTACGGCAGGCTTCTGTAACTTGGCCCGTGTGACACGGTACATCAACAACACAGCTGGTACTAGACAGTGTGACTCCAAGTCTAGGCTTCCGTAAACTGTGATAAGCCCAAAATATTATCCTACATCTTCTAAACCACTGAAACTATCATAAGAACATCTTTCCATTTACTATAAAAAAGAGGAAGGGTAGAGTTGCTTCAAGGAGCCCTGGTAGTACAGTGGTTAAGCACTCAGTCGCTAGCCGAAAGGTCAGTGGTTCAAAGCCACTAGCCGCTCCTCAGAAGAAAGATGTGGCAGTCTGCTGCAGTAAAGACTACAGCCTTGGAAACTCTACGAGGCAGTTCTACTCTGTCCTACAGGGTCGCTATGGGTAGGAATGGACTCGACGGCAACAAGTTTTTATAGTTACCTCAGATATTAGTTCCAATTTTAATGGCACCGTCTGGGCTTTCCTTCCGCGAACATAAGAAATCACTAACCTGATGAACAATTTGAGCTGAGAACCGTGCTCATTTGAACTGATGGAGTCTTTCATCTGTAGATTATTAGCATAGACAATAATGTACCCATCAGTGCCATTTTAGTTCAATATGCCAGGGAATACTAAGGGAATTTTATAACCATATACGCAGTATTTCTAAGCACGTAAAATTCCTATGAAAGTTTTAATGATGCATAGTATTTCCAGATGTGTTGCCACTCGGCTGAGAGAAGATCAAACATGCCTTGAATTTATAGTATGAAAATGCCCCAGAAGCTGTACATAAAACGTACTTTGATGAAAAAGAAAAACCTGTTAATACCAGATTTTAAGCTGTTGAATAAGTCTCCCTCTTCTTGGATTACAGCACTTGATCTTAGCCTAGAAAATGATGTCTACGGTGATGCTACACCTTTAAATCACCAAGAAACAAGGGCCAGGAGAACAGTGAATCCTTTGCACACGGGATCCCCACACTGAGAAGCTCCTCGACTGCGGAAGATTGACGACAAGGACCTTCCCCTAGAGCCGACAGAGAAAGAAAGCCTTCCCCTGGAGCTGGTACCCTAAATTTGGACTTCTAGCCTCCTAGACTATGACAGAATAAATTTCTCTTTGTTAAAGCCACCATTTGTGGTATTTCTGTTACAGCAGCACGAGATGTCTAAGACAATGATCAAAATAAACTTCACAATTCTTAATTCATTATGCTTATTAATGGCAACTCTACTACAGCACAGAACTATACCTACTCGTATACACCCACTATCTGTATCTGCCACAATCATTCATCTCAAGCCTGCCCGCATGCCAGTGCTCAAAGGATCTTTCTGCCTGGGTTGTATTTCTCTGGTTCCTCTGCACAGCTTTCCATATCCAATGTATTCATTTGACTTCTGGGATGTCTACAACAATTTAGATTTGCATCATTCACATATTGTCTTTCTGGTCGGCTTCCAACCTTTTGCTCACAATCTTTCCTAATCTACCTGCATAGTCTTCTTCTGGACAGAGAAAAAAAAAAATCTGCTTATATAGGGAGCTTCCAGTGTTGGCCAAGATGCAGTAAGCCTGCTACGGCCTCTCCCGCTCACTGATCACAATGAAAAACCCTAGACAAGGTACGAAAAGCCACTACCTGGTGGCTCTGGAAAATAAACGACAGCAGATGAGTTAAGCAGGGAGTCAAAACCTGAAGAGAAACCAGTACAGTGACAATGAATTTCTTCTTATTATTATTTTTTTTTCCTATTTATCTCCTGGCTTTGAACCAAGGCCAAATCAGGGAACATTACTATAGGCATGAAAAGCAAAAAATCTGAGAGAAACCCAGCTCTTCAGCCAGATCACTAGGAAAAGCAGCCCCTAGAGCCAGAGAGTGTGGGGGAATGTCCTTTTTATTCTCTCTGGCCCTGCCCCAAAGCCAGCACTAGTGGCAGGACTGCACTGAGCTGCCCCAGTTGCAGTGGTGGCACAAGCATCTAAAAGCCCAAGAGAAAACTCATCTCTCTGGATGAAAGAACCAGGAAAA